CTCTTCTTCTTCTTCTTCTTCTTCTTCTTCTTCTTCTTCTTCTTCTTCTTCTTCTTCTTCTTCTTCTTCTTCTTCTTCTTCTTCTTCTCCTCCTTTTCTTTGCATATTACTTATTAGTATCCCCTCGGATCTTCGGCTGTTACATGACCTATTTGTGTTGCAAGTGTCTAAAACTCTTACTAACTTAAAAAAAAAAGATTTTTGTGGAACACTCGGAGTAACGGAACGATAATCATATGGGTTTTACGTTACTTCTGAATACTCTGAGGTTATTTGGAATGTGGACGCTTCGATTTTATATTAATCTCCGATTGAACAAAACAACATGATTGTGTGAAGGCTCTTGAAAGCGCATGTTACCAATTATAGTTGTGGGAAAAAACGATGAAATTGTGTAGGATTAATGCCCCTATCAACACTGTTACGTTCTCTAAGAGGCGGGAACTCCGAGTTTAACGTCCATCTCCGAAAGGACCGAGCCAAGTGGAAAATTCGTGTAAAATGCCTTTCCCAAGGACACAACGTCGCACCCACCTGAGGCTCGAACCACTGAACCCGCAATCTCATTATTACGAGTCTGGTAGCCTGACCAATAGGCTATCGACGCCTTGTTACCAATAGTGAATAGGAATAATACCAAAAGTAATGAAAATAGTCGACACAAACTAATGTGAAATAAAACGAGGAAAGATATCAACAGCAATTAGGCCATTGGCGTGGACAACAGTAACCGGGCAGACACATTTTGGGACATTCTGTAGTACTAAATAATTATATTTGCTTGATGAAGCCCACGTGGGACGCTCAATGTTAAAAACAATCTGGAAACGACAAATTCAGTTTTTGAGACACCTCAATAGACATAAGGGTCTTGAACATCTAGCTCTCACTGGCAAAATTGAGGGCAAGCGAGGCAGGGGAAGGGCCAGAACAACCTACTTAGGGAACCTAAACAAATGGGTAATAGGGAAAGATCAGGGAAACGTAGCTTTTTTGAGAGCATCCGAGCAAAGGAATGAATGGAGAACCATGATTGCGGATGTCTGTCGCAGATCTGGCACTGGATGATGATGAATAAGTATATCATTGGAGTGGACTTGCCTGACTTGTCAGCTGGTGGATATTCTCTAGTCCGAGCCAGAAGTTCTCGGATAAGTCGCCGAACCCGTTCCGGTAATCCGCCCAGCCACGAAGAAAGTCTACGTCTCCCGAGATACGTCTCTGAAGACAGAAAAGAACATCATGCTTGGGTCTGGACATAAAAGAACATTATACTTGGGTCTGGACAGAAAAGAACATTATACTTGGGTCTGGACAGAAAAGAACATTATACCTGGGTCCGGACAGAAAAGAACCTTGTGCTTGGGTCCGAACATAAAAGAACATTATACTTGGGTATGGACATAAAAGAACATTATACTTGGGTCTGGACAGAAAAGAACATTATACTTGGGTCTAGCTGGACAGAAAAGAACATTATACTTGGGTCTGGACAGAAAATAACATTATGCTTGGGTCTGGACAGAAAATAACATTATGCTTGGGTCTGGACAGAAAAGAACATTATGCTTGGGTCCGGACAGAAAAGAACATTATGCTTGGGTCTGGAAATAAAAGAACATTGTGCTTGGGTCCGGACAGAAAAGAACATTATGCTTGGGTCCGGACAGAAAAGAACATTATGCTTGGGTCTGGACAGAAAAGAACATTGTGCTTGGGTCCAGACATAAAAGAACCTTGGGTCCGGAAATAAAAGAACATTATGCTTGGGTCTGGACAGAAAAGAACCTTGGGTCTGGACAGAAAAGAACATTATGCTTGGATCTGAGCGCTGTTATTGAGAAATATCTCTCTAGAAGTGTCATCTTTGACCCAAAGGTTGCGGTGTAATGATCCTCTCTCCTTCACGGCAGAGCTGCGGTTGCAAATTCTGCCATATTTAGGCCAGTCCATGTTTTTTTGTTGTCCGTCAGCATCTACACACTTTGAGATGTGCTTGTTCAGGGGACGGAGCGCTTATAGGGATGCCCCTTGTGCAGTGATGTCGGTCCTTCACACAAGTAAAGTAAAGTATTCTTTCTCGTCCCCTGACTCACCTGCCAGATATTCTTTCTAGCATCTCTTTCACAATGGTCACGTGTCGTTTTAAGAGGACAAAGTATTATATTTTCCAACTTTTTATTAGAATCACGGTCCTATCGGAGATGGACGTTAAACTAGGAGGTCCCGACCCTTAAATAACCTTATAGTGTTGATAGGGGCGTTAAACCCATACCCTTTACCATTTTTTTCTATTTGATTCAGCAGAGTGTGTCTTGTGTGGAGAATCGAGAAGTGTGTTAAACAACAATGCGTTATCTTCTGCAAGGAGAAGAAATGCCATTTTGTGTGAGATACAGTGTGTCAGATGCGGTGTGTCAGATACGATGTGTCAGATGCGGTGTGTCAGATGCGGTGTGTCAGATGCGGTGTGTCAGATGTGGTGTGTCAGATGCGGTGTGTCAGATGCGGTGTGTCAGATGTGGTGTGTCAGGTGCGGTGTGTCAGATGCGGTGTGTCAGATGCGGTGTGTCAGATGCGGTGTGTCAGATGCGGTATCGACTTTACGAACATGATCATCCTGCCTAACAGAATGTCCCGACTTTGTGGAGACACGCAGGAAATATTCGACATGTCGTTACCCTAGAATTATAAGTTCTATCAGATATTTTTGGCCGTTTTGAGTTACTAAGACCTTGAGAACAGAAACCCAATGTACTATCTGCTCAATCAAAATCGTAAGATTATTCGCAGTCGTTATTAAGGTAAGAAAAGCATTACGTTCGAAAAAGCTTGAAATGTTAAGAAACTAAATCTTTTTTTTAAACGTCAAATGTCTCAAACTGGATACTGAGCAGATAGAACTTTGCAATTCGGAGGTAGCGATGTACTCATCTGCAGAATTTGTTCTCCTCCAGTGATCCGATCAGAATTCTCGATGCAATGAAGGCCATTGGTCCTAACTGAAAGATGTAAATACAGTTATCTTAACATGTAAAACAATTGTTGCTTTTAAAACTGAATTAAACTTCTTCTTCAGTGGCGTCGGTAGCCTAGCGGCTAGGCTAACGGACTCGTAACCGTGAGATTGTGAGTTCGGGGGTTCGAGCCTCAGCTCGGTCCGACGTTGTGTCCTTGGGAAAGGCACTTTACACGAACTTCCCACTTGGCTCGGTCCTATAGGAGACGGACATTTAACTAGGAGGTCCTGCCCCTTAAGTAACCTAATAGTGTTGATAGGGGCGTTAAACCTATACCATTTTACCATTTTTTAACCTTCTTCTTGAATCCTTCCTCTTTTGTTTTTCTTACCTTGTGTTTCTTTACTTTGACCTATTCTCGCATGTCGGAGGCGAACAGACCGAACTACCATCTCCAGGCAAAACAAAAAAACACAAAAACCCCCCACCACAAACACGAAAAAGCAACGAACAAACAAAAAGAAAAATGCGGATATTTTCTGTTCTGGAGGACACGCGGCCTTGTAGTAACATACTGCTGACCTGACCTGTATCAAGATCCAGCCCCCGTTGTCAGTCTCAGTGTCGCAGACGACTTGTAGACCGCTCCTGAGAGTGATCAGTGGTCGAGGGCCCAAACCCTGGACGTCTGCGCAAAACCTGGGCTGGAGAAAAATCCACAGAGAAAGAATTGGGTGAACGGGTGGGGGAAATGGTTAACAGACGCCCGTCTCTGATATATCCATCCATCCATCCATCCATCCATCCATCCATCCATCCATCCATCCATCGATTCATCCATCCATCCCTCCCTCCATCCCTACATACATACATCCCTACATCCATCCATCCATCCATCCATCGATTCATCCATCCATCCATCCATCCATCCATCCATCCATCCATCCATC